CACACACACCCACACACACACACACACACACACACACACACACACACACACACACACACACACACGAGGCTTAGTTACTCGTAGAAATGAAGCAGCCAACGCCAGCCGCAATAAAGGCGGAAGTAGGAAAAGAAAATTTTGGAATCACCTTCTTGCGAAGATAAAAAATAATCTAATGTACTCCATCAGCTGATAAACAAGCGGGAAACTGGCATGGCTAAGAGACAGAGAAATCCATGGAAGTTCAAAAAGTGAATACCGCTTGTCAGTGAAGAATTAGTGAAAAAATTTGGCCCAACCGTTTTGGGCTCTTTTCGATGCGATCGAGGCTCAGTTACATGCTAAGGAAAACAAAATTTAGTCAAGAAAATCGAAAACACAGGCATTTCTTTCCTTTGACTGCTCTAATAGGGCCACTGCAATACCATTTTTTTATTTTGAGGTGCATGTCTTCAGTTTTTACTTGGCTACCTGCGATATTTGGCCACAGAAGAGACGGAACGAGGTAAAAGGAGAGACAAGAGAAAAAGGACGAAGAGAGAGGCGTCTGATGCTTCCGAACTGGGAATAAACAGTCGTAGTCTATTTTGTGGCCATCAAAAATTACCTAGAAAGCCGAGATGCCTAAATCACAAAAATGCATCAGTGAGGATTCTTATGCCATGAAGATAATTAAACAACTTTATTGTATTTGGGAATTCTTTTTTAAAAATTTATCATCCTATCATATTTGACATACTGTAGCGGGGCTGCAGTAATCAACCCCGCTCCCTCCCAACTATCCCGTCCCACAGCACAATAATGCTACCGTAGGGTACTGAAAGCTACGTAAAGGAAACATGTGTACAGAAACTGTAATATAGGCACAAACAGGTTTCTACTTGTATATAAGACCAATTAGCAATAATACTCGTTTCGGGGGAAACTGGGAAACTCTTCAGAAAGCGGATGCAGGAGTAGTGCAAGATAAACCGTAACAACAAGTTCATTTGCTGTAATCTTGCCCATAACTGAAATTTTTGAGGAAAGTTTCGTCAAAGCTTACCTCATTATTCAAGAGGTTAAGCAGTTTTCGTTGGTCACTTTTTTTCGCCGAGCCGCATCTTCTGCCCTCCTTTTATCCCTCTGCATGAGCCCGGTTTCCGTTTTGACTGCCCCTTCTCCAGTGGTGGCATCCACGCCATCCTTCTTTTCAGTGGTCGGTAGTTCCTTTTGGTTCTCCTCTTTTGCCGAACCAATAATCGCTTCATTCGTTTTCTTCAGCGAAACATCAATGCTTTAATGAAAACTTTGAAATTTTTATTTCTTGAACAGTAGCACAGCTTCCCTTCCCCATTGCCCGTGATCTACTAAATGAAAACCTCAAAAATTTAGTACTCCAACCAAAAATTATTCATGTTGACTTACAGTGCTCAAACATGTAAATTTCAGTGCAAAAGTTACCTCATTATTTCGCTAAATTTCAGTGCAAAAGTTATAAACCGTCCATTTCGCAACCAGCATATGAAAGTTTTAGGGATTCCATATTTCTGTCTTTCGGACTTATCGCTTTCCCTCATTTTTAACGGTCAGTTTTCCTTTGCAGCCCATCGTCTTTTTATGTCTGAGACTGCGAATCCTATGCCGATTTTGGTCATGGGCAGGTCCAGAACAAACTCCTGGGCGGGGAGGGGAGGTGGGGTGAGGCTCCTGAGGAAGGCGACAGGGAGTGGGAGGAGAGACCCCTCCCGCCCTAAAACCGTGCAACAACTAGGAATAGAATTGTAACACTGCTATTTATAGTCACTTTACTTTAGAGTAGTTTAGGCTTTAATTTACTCTAGTTTTAGCTTTAGACCCGAACTTTTGCTGCACTGGTACCTGTGCCATCGGGGAGGAGAAGGGGGAAGACTCATCGGCCCCTCCCCCTGGAACCGCCTATGATTTTGATAATCTTTAAACCAGTTGTCATACCGTGAAAATCTTTTACGAAGTTTGCTTCATAAAAACCTCTAATTTCCGGAACAAAAAGAAAGGACGGAGGGGAGAGGGAAACTGGAGTTAATCCGCAGATTTTAACTCGCAGCGCCTTTCGATTTTTGGTAAAAGGAGAGAGGAGGGAGAAAGGGGATGGTAGAGTGAAGGAAGACGAAAGAGAGGGATGAAAAGAGCAATGTATGTGCAACCAACTGAACTCTTACCAACTGTAGGAATTAAACGATTTACAAATGGATGTGCAATCTTTTTTCGTATTTGTAACAACAGATGTGTTCCCAACTCTGACAAAAATTGCAGCAGAAGTTATTTCTTGAAAGCATATTAGAAAAGGGAACTGAAAGCAATTTGGGCTGCGCACCATCCTAGTACGAATTAATCGTCGAACAAATCAGCGAAGCTCAAGGAAACTGGTTTTCTGGGCCACGGCTTTGAGGCTTTGAATGTCTGCACTTCCAGTAGGGCATTTTAGATATCCTAGGCGTTAAAAAAAATCCGGGAAATTTGGACAGGGAACATTTCGTTGAAATTTCAGCTTTCCAAATTTCCCGGTTTTTGAGTTAGTAATTTTCCTGCCAAAAATTTTCACGGGGCCGTGCGTGACGCCACGTACGCCCGAGGGCTGAGTTTAATAAATTTAAGACGTACATGGGCTGGGAACATTCTCTGAAAATTTCAGCTACCCAGCTTTTCTAGTTCTCGAGTTAGCCAATTCCGCGCCAAAACTTTTCACGGCGTCGCACGTGAGAACCACGCATGCTCGGGAGCTGAGTTTGATAATTTCAAGCTGAACATGTATTAGCAGTATTTTCTGAAAATTTCAGCCTCTCAGCTTTCCTGGATCCCGAGTTAGCCACTTTCGTCGCAATATGCGTTTTCGCACTTGCATATATGCAAAAACGCATAAATACATTTAGTTAATCAACACCGCAGCTGCAGTAGTAACGAGGTCCAGCTGTAGTGCTGAATAGGAATATTAAAGTAATTCCTACTAATTTAAAGCAATTCCTATTAATGTAATTCCATTCTGTTAAAATAATTCCTACTTTATGCATATCATTTTTATAAGCAAACAGCCGCTATTGATGACAATTCGAATGAAATATAAGACTGCCACAAATAGCTGACACCCTAATTTAGAAGAAACTAACGGTTTAGTTGCTTTTGTCGCAGGTTTCGACGTTGGTTGGTCCTTCGGTTCATCTGATGCTGGCATCTCTGCTGCTTCAGCTAACTGCTTAGAAGCCACTGGTTCCGCAAATTTAATTACTTCTGACTCAGATGACTGCTTTGAAGCCGCCTGTTCAGTAGATGTGACCACTTCCTGTCCAGTTGGTTTCTTGGATTCCATATCTGTGGCTACTTTCGGCCCAGCTCCAGACTTGAAAATCACGTGTTTCGTAGGCACGATAGCTTTCGGCTCATCTGGTTGCTTCGAAATCACTGGCTCCGTTGGAGTGGTCGCTTGCAGCTCAGTTGGTTTCTTAGATGTGGCCGTTTCCGTGGGTGCGATCACCGGCTCCTTGCAAGTTGTCGGTTCCGTGCCTTTGGCCGGCATTCCCTTAGTTAGTTGTCTGGAAGGCACCGGTTCTGTTGCTGTGGTCACTTCCGGCTCAGAAGATTGCTTAGAAGCTGCTGATTCCACCTTTTCCTCAGTTGACAACTTTGACGCCATCGATTTCGCAGGACAAGTCACTTTCTGAGCAGCTGGTTGGTTGGATGTCACTGTTTCTGTTGGTTTGCTCGCTTTGGGCTCTGTTGGTTGCTTAGACATTTCCGTAGATGCGGCAACTTTGCTCCTAGCAAGTTCCTTGCAGGTCACCAGTTCTACTGGTGTACTCGCTTTGGGTTCAGCTTCCTCAGGGGCCGCCGTTTCCGTGGATGCAGCTACTTCTTGCTTAGTTAATTGTTTAGCAATCACCGGTTCCGTTGGTGCATTCATTGCCGGTTCAGCTGCTTGTGTTGTGGTTGCCTGTTCTGTGGGTATGGCCACTTTCTGCTCAGCTTTCTTCTCAGGTGGACATTCGGAGGTAATCTGTTCGGTGGGTACTGTCGGTTCCATTTCAGCTGAAGACTTCGGCGTCTCTTCTTCGAGTAACTCTGATTGTGTTTGTGAATCTGTCACTGTCGGAGGCTTTACCACTGGCGTTTCGATTGGTTTTGATGAATCGGGCTTTGATGTTTGGTCTGCTACCACATTCTCAGACTTCGGTTCTTTTGACGAAAGTTCCGGCGCCGATGCACCTGCGATTTGCATTGACATCACGTGCTTCGCCACTTCTGCCGATGATTTTTGCGTCAGTTCTTCTAGGAGTTCCATTGTTTTCACTTCTTTTTTCATCTCCGCAGATAATTTTTGAGTCGGTTGCTCTAAGACTTCCGATGATTTCGCTTCTTTTTCCATCTCTGCGGATAATCTTTGCGTCGATTCTTCTACAATTTCCGCTGCTTTCACCTCTTCCGCCATTTTTGCGGATGGTTTTGGCGCCAGTCCTTCTACGATATCTGTGGATTTCGGCTTGGTTAATGCCTTGACGGGTGCCTTTGGAGCCAGTTTTTCCTTTAAAGATATTTCCGGTGAAGCCTGCGATTCGGGTACTGGTTCTGACAATTCGGTTGTTGTCTCCTGTGCTGTCAGTGCTGGTGCTTTTTTCTGAAGCTCCGGCTCAGTCTTTTTCACGGATTCGGCTTTTGACGGCTTTTCTGCTGGCTTGGCTGGTTCCACTTGTTGTGCGGCTTCTGACTCTTCAGCTTCCAGTTCCGGTTCCAGCAATGCTACTGATTCCGCTTCTACTTCCTCTTTTTCTTCCGCTACCGGTTCTTCTTTCTCCTTTTTCTGATCCGCTTCGCTAGTTGCTTTTATTGTTTTGGCTGCAGTAGCTGTAATTTGCTCCGCAGCCGCTTCTGCTTTCTCCTTCGTCGCACTTGCTTTCGATTTCGAAATTTCATCCTTTGAGGTCGAAGTGGGGGCCACTACACTTTTTGCCGGACTCGACACCTCGGATTTTTCTGATTCGATTACAGATCGTGTACTGATGGTAGTTGTCGTTATCGTCGTTTCATCTGCTTCTCTTACAAAGGCCTCTTTTTGTTCTTTCTCACCTCGCGCCACACTTTCACTGATATCCTGAAAATTTGTTAGCATTTTATACTAGCCCTATGGAAAGCGTTGGTGTTTGGCGTTTCTCTTTGAGACCATATATGCCACCAGGTACTCACACTAAGACTACGCAAGAAAACAAAATCTAATAGTCAAGGGATGCTGTTAACCTTGTTGACAACCGGTGGACGATGCGCATTAGCGATTGATGCCAGCAAGAAAGTAAATAACCATTCTAAGCCTTCAAAGAGGTGGCACACAAACGTCGAATAGGCGGTGAACACTAGTTAGAAGTATACAGCCGAGATATAGACACGGCATAGTTGCACCCGGTATGTGGGAGCATTCCGTTAGAACCACTAACACCGGATTTCTCTACTGACTTATTGTCCTTAGTATACTGGCGTAATTAAAGAAGTAGCTAGTGCAGACATAAGTTCTGTGCAACCCTGTCCAGCTAACGCTTGTGCATCTCTGTCTGGCGGATGCTTGTGCAACTCTGTCCAGGGAAGCTTTGCTGTTAAAAGTGTCCATTGCATTACTGTTTGAAACGCACAGTAATTTTTGTGGTTTCCGAACCATCAGTTTTTCACTCTCCTATACACAAGACCTAGGCACACGCAGGGGTTAATTTATATGCGGGCAAAGAGCAATATTCTGAAATTTCAACCTCCTAGCTTTTCAGATTTCCGACTTATAATTTTGGCGCTAAAACTTTTACGCCTCAGTGAGTAAAATCTGATTTTAAAATTACGAGTATCGTACGCTAACAAAGACATTCCCCTAAAATTTCGGCTCCCTGGGTATCTTGATTCTCGAGTTAATATTAGCACCAAAATCTTCACTAGTTCGTAAATGATACCTAGGCGAGCGCCAGGCATGAGATTTTTAGCCTTTTAGTTGTGAACCAGATTGTTAATTTGGCGCCGGAATTTTCGCGTGCTCGACTAGGTATCATTTAGGCATACGTGAAAGCTGATTTTAAACTTACAGAGTCGCACGCTGTCAAGGACACTCTCCTAAAGTTTCAAACTCTTAGATGTTGTAGTTCCTGAGTAATTAATTTTGACATCAAAAATTTCGGTTGTCACTACGTGAGATCTAGACATGCAAGTGGACTAAATATGAGTTGCGGGATCAATCGCGAATGGAAGACATTCTTCTAAAATTTCAGTATCCTGGATTTCCTTTTTTCCGAATTAACGATTTTCATGCTAAAACTTTCACGTATCAGTGCCCGAGATGAAGGCTGAATTTAATAGATGCGGGAAAGGAACATCCTTCTAAAATTTCAACTTCCTGGCTCTTGTGTTTTCTGAGTTATTATGCGTTTTTGCTTATATGCAAAAACACATACTGTGACAACCCCAGTGTATGTATATGTATGTGTGTGTATGCATGTGTGTGTATCTGTCCGGGTATTTCAACCCGGCACCCAAGCAAGCTCCGGTGCCAAAATTTTGCGAGTGGGTTCCTCGGCCAAGTGCCATCCCGGGACCGCGGAACCAATCCTCAAGCACGTGTAGGCCCCGCGTACGAGGGCCTCAAAGTTTTGGCGGGAAAATCGCTAACTTGGGGGCCAGAAAAGGTAGAAAGCTGAAATTTTGGGATTATGTTCCCCGTCCATATAGAACTCAAATATTTTAAATTCAGTCCCCAGGTGTGCATGGTTTTCGCGCATGGCCTCGTGAGGGTTCCTGGCGCGAAAATCGCTAGCACAGGAACCAAGAAAGCTGGGAGATGTTCCCAACTCATCTATAACTTAAATTTATCAAATTCAGCCCCCCGTTATGTGTGGTTGCCACGTACGGCCCCATGAAATTTTCTGGCTGGAATTTGGGTAACTCG